CGTCTCATGTGCGCTGTTATTTACTTAGATGGATTTCTTGCGCCGACCCGACATCTAGTTGGTATTGTTGATCGAAGACAGATATTCATAACAATCTGTTTTTTAACTACCCGCTAAGAAAATTGAAAATTTTCGGAAAGCGGAAAGTTTCAGGGATGGCCTGCAGGGTCAACAAATTTTTTTCTCTAAATTTATTTTAATACAGTTACTGTGCATTAAAACTTAGTAGCTATTTGCAACCAGCTCCTCCTAGTTCACCTCTGCTGCCGCAAATCTATAGAGTGTACTAACTGGTGACACCCATTTAACCGCTCATCGTCGCCTGCCCACTGAGCACAAAGAACATCATGCGCTACGTAAACGTGGGAGGGTCATAACTGCGCTCCTGGTATAATTCAATTCGCAACCAGTCCGACTGACTACTACATCTCTTTTAAAGTGTTAGTCTATGCTTGATACACCAGATACAGTAAACTTCCCGCCATCTTGTATTTATAATCATTTATAACCAGATATACTGCTTGTTTTTAACCAGCTGTACATATAATACCGTAATGCCTTTTAAGCGCACCGCACCAATAAAAACCAATGTTTCAGAGACAGACTCAGAAAGCAAAGGTGGAAGTGTGTATGACCTTCAAAATAGAGATAGCAACAGCAACATTATCATGGCACGTTTAAAAAGAAAGCGTGAAAATGAATTTCATACTTTTATGGAAGGGCACGTACTATGTTTTCTAGTTTTGCATCCAAACAAACAAACAAATTACAAACATTGGAGTATTCGCTATCTAAAATAAAATTACAAAATAATACTTCACAACTCTCAATGGAAACACTGTCTCATAAGCATCGTGAAATTCAGAAGGAGTTGGAATGGCTCAAAAATGAACGTAAAGAGTATGTAACATAATTAAAACAACTTAAAAATAAAAAAATAAAGAAATGAAATTCATTATATAAAATCTTAAAGAATGAAATGAAAAATTTAATACTACTTTAATGGGTTTTGATAACAGACATGAACAATAGAATTACATATCAGAAGCTTTTACACCGAAAGGAAGACATTTATTTTACCTGGCAAGAGATTTTGTAAAATGTCACGGTTTGTCATATTGCTGGACATCCTATGAAAATATATTTTTTCGAAAATAAGGTTTGCTAAAAAATTCGTAATCAAGAAGAAGGGGATCTGTTGAAACTTAAGGAGAAAACCTTCTTGTCTTGCGACGGTCAAGTTTATTCTGCTACTCGTACAACTCAAACTGCGTACTTTAATTTAAACGTATTATTTTTAATAACAAAAACAATGTTTTATCACAATATATTTTATTTAGACTTCATATAAGAAATTTTATAAAACATATTTATACCTTATACACAACGCTTTACGTACTACTTTGTTACCTGTTTTAGATAGAATAATTTTAATTACAATTCCTATAAATTGTTTTATTAGCAGACACATTGTATATATTAAATATAAACTTTAGTTTTTATCGTATGTTATTAGGCATTCAGCGCTTTCATTTTATATTCATATGCTTTCATTACTTTCACAGTTAATAACACATTTAGTGAAATAGATAATATATATATATATATATATCTTGTAAACTCGAAGATTGTAAGAGTTTACTACATCAGCCTACACACTATATGACTGTACTTACTCAAAATATCCGTAGTATTTCAAGCAATTATGATAGTTTTGGGCAACTCTAAATAGACTTCCTGTGACATTATTATACTGACAGAATGTTGGTTTTCCCGTAATCCGGTAATAACTTAGTTGGACGGTCATAACTACTATATGACAAAAAAGTATTAAACAAAAATGATGGAATAGTAATATATAGTAAATATAATAATCCAATCACTATTGAAGAACCACAATGTCAAGATTGTAACAGTCTAATTATAAAAACATTGAGGTTTTCCTTAATTCACTTGATTTTGCAAACCTTGCAAAGCTCTGTACTTTTAAAACAGTCTTTATAATCGGTGACATAAATATTAATATTTGTTCTGAAAGTAGTGACCCAAATCCTTAGAATAATTAACTTTATGCTCCCATTACGGCCTGTTATCTCCACGTAATATTGCCACAAGACAGAATAGCTACTCAGATCACGTTATTTACCTACCTACCTTACCTACCTTAGTCATACTTACAATCTGCAGTCACGGATTACCAGGCCGTACTAGTATATATATACTGGGTGATTTTTTACCTATATAAATTATTATATAAAGACAAAAAATCATTCCGTATAATCTCTAAATAATAAAATGACTATCCCGTTGGTTTAGTGGTCGCAAACGCGATTGTAGATTGTGACTGTGCAGATGGTTTGTCTCCGTTGAGACTGGCCGTCGTGACCGAAATTCGGTCTGGAGGACGTTAAAAAAAGAGGTGATTGTATTACGTCAAACTGCAAATGTGGTGTTACCTGCTCATCACTGACGGTGGGGCAGACGACTGGCGCACCGGGCACTATCGGGCACGGCATGTCGATGGCGGCGCCACACGCCACGTCGACACTTTTGTCAGTCCCCCGCCGACGTGTCCGGCAGTTGCCGCTGCGAACCGACACCTCCGCCTGCACGAACGATTCAACATATTCTATAACATTAAATTGGCAAACGAACTCACGTAACATTTCTGCAGGTTGAATACCAGCGTAAAATAGCGTAATACTGCTGTGTCTCATATGGTGAGTGTAGAGAACTGGAGATCCTTTTCACTGAATACGAGACATTATATCCAAATTCTCAAGGGTAATAACGTATCTGCATTTTGTTTCGTAATTGAGGATAAATATAGGTGTCTATGGACCACAACATCTGCTTTTTACTGAAAACGACGCATTCCATCTTAGTCCTCAGGGGTGGCAACGCGTTTGCATTTTGATTCTTAATCGAGGATAAGTGTAGACATCTATGGGCCACTGCATACACTCTTCCATCCATTCTATAAAAGAATACGCAAGAGGGATGTACCTAACCAGATGGACTCCTAGGTAAAAGCACAGAATTAATAATAGTACTACGTAGTAAGAGTCCTACATCACGTACCTGACGCGCTGATGAGGCTCGACATTTTACTACAAAAACACCCGAACGCAATGTGTGTAACTTTCTGAAAGATAACTTGTAAGAAATCTAAAGTCATCGTAATATATGTGTACTAAGAGGATGGTGCAGGCAGCGAACTGCTCCCGGGATGTGCTTAGAAATTTATGAAATGAACATTTTAATAATAAGGTTTTAGGTGATCCATCACAGGCAGAAATACAGTAACAAAGTTGTGACTACCCAAGATCAAGGTAAACGGATTTTATTAACTCTTTATCAGCAACACATAGGTACAACACGTAGGTTTTTAGAAATATAAATTAGTTTTGCGTTTTCTTGCTGCCAATAAGTTAATGTGTCCTCGGAAGCTTAATCTACCGTCAATCGTAATACTCAAATACTTAACCGTATTTGTTTTGTAGACTAGAACACAAACGACTGGAGTCATTGTGATTCGAACATGTGTGGGATATAATTTTATATCAGATTCTGCATTTCTCAAGGAAAAGGAGACCACGGCACTGGAAGGAACTCCACCTGGTAAGTGCGTTTTACGTTTTCTCTCTTCTTTTTTATTATTATTTAACTTGAGCCATTTTTGTTTTTGTTTTCCCCGTCAAATTTACTCTCCTACCGGCTCAAATGGACCTCCACCTTGACACTGGTGAAGTAGTATATTAGAAAGAGCGAGTGCATCGTCCAAGGCTGTCGCATGCCACGTCAGCCATCTTGTTTTGGGATATCAAGAAACCGCACATACAGTCCACCTAGTAACATCTCGCATAATAGGGTCAATGCCCGACCTGGGAACAAGAACCCCTAGACCCCTCGCCCAACCATTTACCGAAAAGAGATGGTTGGACAAATTAGTCACACCAAAACTTAATGGTAAAGAAGTACCATTTTCCATTGAAGTTAAGTACTTGGGCGTAACAATCGATCAAAAACTAACGTGGAACTCTAACTTTAGTAACGTATGCCATAAGGCAAAAATTGCTTTTTTTATAGGAGAGGGGGCAAATGAGCACACGGCTCACCTGATGGTAAGTGATTGCCGCCGCCCATAAACACTGCAACACCAGGGAAATTGCAGATGCGTTGCCGGCCTTTTAAAAAGGAGTAAGCTCTTTTCTTGACGGTCTCTAAGTCGTATCGATCCGGAAAAATCTCTGGTGGTAGTCGATTCCACAAGGAAGTTGTGCGAGGAAGGAAACTTCTTTTAATTCGCACGGTGGTGGACCGCAGTCATCCAGATGGTATGGATGGTTTGTCGCGATATGCGATGGTGAAATTGTGCGGCTGGAATTGGTAACCGAACAATTCCTCAGAGCACTCCCAGTGGTAGATGCGATAAAATACGCAAAGAGATGCAACATATCTTCGCTTTGCCAGTGAGTCAAGCCGATTGGAAAGAGCTCGGTCGCCGACGAATCGAACAGTTCTGCACTGGATGCGATCAAATGGAAGGAGCTGGCACTGGGTAGCCCGACCCGGAGATGGGAACAATATTCCATGTGTGGCCAAACCTGCGCCTTGTAAAGTTGCAGGCGGTGAGCCGGCATAAAATACTGTCCCGCTCTGCTGAGCACGCCAACTTTTTAGAGGCCAATTTGGCCTATCTTCCAAGTGCCCACGAAACTGCACGTCACTCGATATGTCAACGCCGAGGATTCCGATACTGGCTGAGGCAACAAGGGGAGTGCCTTGAAACTGAAGAGAAGAAGGGGTTCTTTTTAGCCATTAACGCGCAAGCTTGTGACTTCTGAGGGTTAAACTGGACTTTTTGTCACTTTCATCCAAAATATTTATATTGAAATCTCCTAATAAAATTATATTATCAAAATTTGAATATAAAGTTAAAATGTCTGTAAGAGAATCAAAGAGCCTTTCTACATTTACTCATTGTGGTCGATATGCTGTTCCAGTTAGAAGCTTAACTTTTTTATTGGACAGCTCATCAAAGATGGGAATAAGAACGAGCATTAATCCCTTGTTTGAAATAAAAATCAACACCACCACCACGTGCCCTAGATAAGTTATAAGAACAGAGAATATAACTGAAGCGATAGCCGGAAACTAACGGAGCAGTCGCATCTTCAGCAGCTCGTACCTAGTTTCGTTTATCGCCATGATATCAGTAGATTCACGTAGCAGAGTTGCCTGAAACTCATTGCTTTTGCTTTGGATCGACCCAGCATTAAATAGGCCAACTCTTATCCTTATATGGTTCTCCGCCGTCATCCGCTCGTCCAGATGACAAAGAATCGTACTCCACTACCCCATACACTGTCTGAGAAAGTCTCTAACTGTACAATCAACATTGTACAGCTTGAGTTGGGTCCTCTAGCCATACATGGGGCACCGAGTCGAATGCCTTTCTGCAGTCTATCTAGGCGGCGGGGAAGTTCTGATGGTTGCATTTAAATCGCTTTGTCAATGACAGCGTCAATGAGGAGGGATCCTTAGTTCCACGCTCACTGCCCCGACACCCATATTGAGCGCGCGACATCACCTGATTTAAGTGACGAGTGATTCTCGCACTCAAAATGGTCATTTCAGTGTTTTATGTATGGTGGGTAGACACGTGATGGGGCGGTATTTGCTCGGGTCTGTGGTATTTTTTGGCATTTTATTTGGTCTTTGGGAACCAAGTGAGTGATCCCAGTAGTGAAAAGACTCGGGAGTAACTTTTGGTCGAGAGCTTCTTGAAACTGTCGGGCGAGCACAGCGTGACACCACGAATCCCTTCTGTCAGTAGACTTTTCCAGTTTGGAGCCCTACGAACCGCCTCAGCTACGTCATCCGGACTTATGATGATGAGGTACACACCGGGTTTGTCACCCATGAGGACCAAGATGGAATGCTTCATTTCCAGTAAAAAAGGTATCCCATTATTTACACTCACCGTAAGTAACATAGCAGTATTAAGCTGCTATTTTACGCTGGTATTCTCTGAGCTCGTAGTATTTCCCGTTCGAGCCGTTCGACTAGATTCGACGAGAACGAAGATGACGACGGGGAGTGACGTCTAAAGTGCGTCATATCTGGTATTGTGATTGTAAATCTATGTCAGGTGAGGATAAAAACCATGGGCGTAACACTCGCACACTCACTCCCCTCAAATTTCATCCAAGGGCCATCGCTGTGGTTTTAGGGCTCTGACCATAAACCACGCCAGAATACTACAGTCGCTCACATGATTCGCAGAGCCTCTTCTGATCTCTCTGAAAGAGAGGATTCTGGTTGAACCGTGTCAACCTTTCGGTATATCGCCGAACCCGCTTTCCCCAAGCAGCGATTCTTTGCTTTAGATCGTCTATGCCCTACGTCAGTTTTTGCGTTGTATCCTATAACGAAACAACTAACAGAGAAGAACCGGAAATAACCTGTAGTAGATAATAGAACCAATAGACTTTAATATTTTTATTTGCTTTCTTTTTAATATCATATATTATTATATGTTAGGTGATAGATTGCTTTTATGGCTCTCTTTTTCAATATATATATCTTAATATATATAAATTACGTGTCACGTTGTTTGTCCGCGATGGACTCCTAAACTACTCAACCGATTTTAATAAAATTTACTCACCGTGTGCAGTTTGGTCTACCTTGAGAGATAGGATAGTTGTTTGGCCCATGAGTGACCCACAATATTTTTTTTTTTTGCGAATTTAAGGATTTTTAATAGGCCAAGACAAAGGATCGTTGAAAAGGGCAGAACAACGTCTGCCTGGCAAGCTAGTATATATATATATATATATATATATATATATATATATATATATATATATATAAATGTTTATTTTTTACAGCATGTGCTGCAAAGCTGAGTGTGCTAGCTAGCTTAGATATAGTTTATATTATATAGTTGGCGTCCCGCTGAAGTTTTGCGTCAATTGCTCCTTCCCATCAAAAATACCAGACCTAATGATGATGATGATGTAATGATGATGGCATTTACACGCTTAAAATTGTGTGTTGTAAATTTAATATACTTAATTTTATATACGTTCAGAAGCAAATTGTTAACGTTAAACCAGTGTCTTAGTATGTGTTTTAATATAAAATTATTCGTGTACAGAGCTACATATTTTGCAATAACCGACCAAATACGTAGAGAAGGTTCAGAATAAGTAATATAGGCAAATGGTGAAGAAAAACTAATTAAAAAATCTCAAACATTCTGTCCTTTTTATCTTTTAAATTCAAAATGCGTGGTCATGCATTATTTTGAATGATTTTACTGCGCAAGCACACATTCGTAAGGGTCGATCGGTTAGCAAAAACGTTTTGAATTGTATCACACACATAGAATCGTAGTTGTTGCCTATAAATCACATTGAATTTAGAATAATTTCAAATAAAAGTAGAAGCCTTATTTACTTTTATTTAAAAAAAAACTCAGACATTTTAAAAAACTGCAGTAACGGTATTTATATCTTGTTCTTAAGTATAAAATTTGGCTAATTTTTGAAAAATAATCCTGTATATCATATTTTTCAACCTTCTCATTAAGTCACTTTCCTGTTTCGGGTTCAATTGAGAAATCGATTTTTGACTAACTTCCTGATGAGTTGGAAACTTGAAATTTGAAATATAGCTCAAATCAGGAACACAATGCAAGAATATGGAAAAAAAATGTAGCAAAGTTCGTTCGTTCTAAAGAAATTTCACTTGTTAACAATTGCTGTTTAAGTAAAAAAATCAACAAAGTAAAACAAACAAAGCCAAGCAAAGTTACGTAAGTCATATGGACTAAACACAGGAACATACAAGATGACATAAGAATTACTTGAATGTTACGTGGTAGAGCCATGCCGCAGCTGTTGTACGGTTGTAGCATGAATGCGTCGCCTCAATCGGGGTAGGATCACGCTCTCACGGAATACCAGTGTAAAATAGCAACTTCACGCTGCTGTGTTACTTATGGTGGATGTATAGAACCGGAGAGCCTTTTTACTGGAAACGAGGCATTCCATTTTAGCCCTCAGGGGTGAGAACGCATCTGCATTTTGATTTCTAATCAAGAGGAAATGTTGATGTCTATGGGCCACAGTATCCAGGTATCATCAGGTGGATTGTGTGCTCGTTTATCACCCTTATTAAATTAAAAAAAATTGAGCCCTTTAGAAATAACGATTAATACTATGAACCGGAAGAAGAGTAAGGTTGACTGCATGGTATATTGATCGACAGAGAGGTAGAGACTCGTCTAAAATCTAATCATTTGATGACGGAAAAGGTTCCGTTAGATAGCCGTGGGGGGGTGGTGGCGTTTAGTAACCATGGCTTTCACACCACGGTGAATAAAGAAGAACCCACTTGGCTGGCCCGGATGCACGTTGGTGGACTGTGGTGGAAGGGATGGCCTCTTCACCTTTCCGTCGCAGCCGAGGTGTAGTCGTGGAGGAAGAGACGTGTTGATATGGCGATGCGCTACTCGCCCCATCTTAAGCGACCGAAACTTAGTTACTAGACTCCACGGAATGAGTAATTCATTTATGGGGCAATGTAAACGCTTTTACAACAAAATTCCAGAAAATGTACAAAATTTGTCAATAAACAAGTTTAAATATCTTATTAAAGAAAAATTGCACAAAAAGGGTTATTATAATATAAATGAAAATAGCCCCTGGGAATGAGGTGATCGCCACCATGTTGGCTCTATTAAAATTCATTTCAAAATTGTAGAAACAAAATTATTGTAAAGTGACATAGGTCTTAAAAAAAGTACCTCTGGGCATCTTGCTAGTTCTTCCCAGGACAGAGGTATTTTCCGAACCAATGGTAAATAAAAAACAACTTTTAATAAGTATTGTAAATCTATATTAAATAAAATTCATTCATTCATTCATCATTGATTGATTCATTCATTAGTTGGCGGCGGAGTCATAGATCAAATCCACCGCCGAGGTCAGAAGTATTTATGAGTGCTTGACTTTCCTGGCCCTGCGGCCCTCATGTAACTGGCTCGGAGGGAGGGGGGGGGGCTGTACATTTGGATTTAGACGAGGCGAACGAAATAACGAAAAAAGGGATTTTTCTGAAGGCACCGGTAGAGCCGCGGTAATTATAATGATAATAATGTCCTACAGATCGAATTTCAGTCACGGGTGTCAGTATCTACGGAGACCAGACGTCTGCACGGGACAACATTATAGTATCGGAGTGTACTCGTAGTGAGTACTCTAGAGTGTACTCTCCATTCCCTCATTTTTACAGTCCGATGGGACGGGAAACCGTCACGACTGGGAGAGATTGGGAGGCAAGGCTCGGTGGCGACACCCCGCCCACTTCCTGACTTCGGGCTGTTGTTTCATCGACATATAGTACACGTGTATCCGCGTATGTTCGTACTCGCCCAACCAATCTCGTACAGACATTCCCTGTTCCTTTCGGTCTGCGTTATCCTACCATAAACTCGTCCACCATATCCTGTACCCAGTCCCGTTCTTTTCCTAGGTCGACTAATGAGCAAAGACGTTAACGAAAAGAGAGAAGTGAACGGTCTCCAGTGTCACGTTGCTTCGCTTCCGTGGCTTCGGGTGTTTTCTAAAACTCTTGTTTCTTATCTTTAACACTTACCATCACTATATCTTCTAACATGTTAAATCCAGCGGCATAACAAGGGCCGTTTAGCTGCGACTGAAGGCCTATACACGCTCCTTTTGAAAGATCTGGCCCTTCATCCCACTGCACGTCCTCGTTTAGAACAAGAAGTCCGAAGTCGTTTGCATGTGTGCCTTAAATTAATAAGGAATTAATTACGAGTATACTAAGTATAGGATTAATAAGAAAGTTATTATGCTAAGTATAGGATTAATCGTATTCCTATTAAGGATGATCGATATTCATCGATGGTAAATAATCATCGATGTTTGGCGACAATAAATCGATCGTACGTCCTTAAATACCTCAACATATCGATGTTACGAGAATATTATCGGAACATCGATATACTAGGCCATTAGGATCCAATATTTTTATTGCAAGTCCTAGAAGATACCTATCCAAAGTGGAAGAAAGTAATCATCAAACATTTGTGTGCTACACAGCGAATTCAACAGCATCCGAAAGACATTTTTCATTAGTTAGTAAGCATCTGCTTCAACAAAAGAACAGATTAAAAGGATATCGGATTACGGACATCGATATATTCCTTGCAATGTGTAATTATTGTACATCGATACTTTTGAGTCGATGTTAATATCGATCATACCTGATTGGTATTTACATCTTAGTCAGGCAGTAGGAGTTAAAGAAACATAAAAATATTCCCAAGTTAATGCCGCGACATGCACAAAGTAGGTTTCTGTTTGCTGATTCTCTCTGATATTTTTGATTTGATTGAATACGTCTACTTACGTCTTAGTTTTCATTAAAAACACTTAGTAAGAGTTATTTTACACATGACCATCACGTTGTCTATTACATTAATTAAAAAGTTGAAGATCATCTTACACTGTTGGTTCTTTGAAGCTTGTTGTTTCCAAAACTCAGTTTAATGCCAAAAGTGAGTTTTGGAAACAACAAGCCACAAGTCTCGTCAACAACGTTGTAAAGATTGGGAGTGTGTCGACGAGGGTCGCGTACTCAGAATCACCAAATGGTATTCGCTGAAGGTCATACAGGTCTACGCACCAACCTCGGCACATCCCAATGAAGAGGTGGAGGAAATGTATGAGGATATTTCTAAAGCAATGTATTCCTCCAAAACCCACTACACGGTGTTGATGGAAGACTTCAACGCAAAACTAGGCACAAGAGAAGGCGGTGAGCTGAAGTTAGGGAAATTTGGAGTAGGGAAACGGAACCGTAGGGGCCAGCAGCTGGCTGACTTTATGGAGAAAGAGGGACTCTTTATTATGAACTCTTTCTTCCAGAAGCGGCCCCACAGGAAGTGGACCTGGTCGAGCTCCGACGGTTCGACAAAAAATGAGATTGACTTCATTATGACGACCAGACGCCAACTGTTCAGTAATGTCTCAGTGATCGCAAGGGTGACAACCGGCAGCGATCACCGAATGGTTAACGTTAAGTTGGAGAGGTCTCGTCTAATGAAGTCAACGCTCCATCCCCCTCGTGCTCTGATCCAGAATGCCGAGACTTTTCAGCTCGAGTTACGTAACCGCTTTCAGTGCCTAGAAGATTGCAATGCAGTGGACGATATGAATGACAAGCTCGTGGAAACTGTCCATGCGGTTGGAGCTAAGTTCTGCGAGACCCGCCGCAGAAGAACACAAAAACTCTCCGATTACACTCTTAATCTCATGGCTGTTAGACGGGAGATGAGGCTGCAATCGTCAACAGATTTGACAGCATATAGGCAACTGTACAGAAAGATCTCCAAATGCATGTGGCGAGACTTACGCAACTTTAATACTGCTCGTATTAAAGAAGCGATCGAGCGAACCAGTGCTCCAAATTCTTTGCCAGAGATCTGTCTGCCAGAAAGAGCCAACTGTCAAAGCTGAAGACTGAGTGTGGCAGCATCGTTTCCGAGACACCTGAGATTTTGAGTGAGATTGAGATCGTTGGACCCACACGTAAGTGTGAGTAACGATCCAAGAGCAAGTCTTACCCGACACTATTCCGATGATATCCCGGACGTCAGTCTGAGCGAGATTAGAATGGCTCTCCAGCACCTTAAAAACGGCAGGGCCCCAGGCGAGGATGGAATTACAACGGAGCTTCTGAAAGCGGGTGGAACATCGGTACTTGAAGTCCTTCAGAAGCTCCTCAATTCCGTCCTCCATGGTGGCACTACTCCGGAGGCGTGGAGAAGAAGTGTGGTGGTCTTGTTCTTTAAGAAAGGCGACAACGCTCTCTTGAAGAACTACAGACCGATTTCCCTTCTGAGCCGCGTCTACGTGCTGTTTTCGAGAGTCATTACGAATCGTCTCGCACGCAGACTCGACGACTTCCAGCCTCCCGAACAAGCCGGTTTCCGAAAAGGCTTCAGTACCATAGACCACATACATACCCTGCGGCTGATTGTACAGAAGACCGAAGAGTACAATCTGCCACTTTGCCTGGCGTATGTGGACAATGAGAAAGCCTTTGATTCCGTCGAAATTTGGGCGGTGCTACAGTCCCTTCAGCGGTGTCAAGTTGACTGTCGGTTTATCGAAGTGCTGAAGTGTTTGTACAGTAGGGCTACGATGGCTATGCAAAGAGGTATAAGACAGGGTGACGTTATATCCCCGAAACTCTTCACCACTGCGTTGGAAGACGTTTTCAAGCTACTGGACTGGAAAGGATACGGTATTAACATCAATGGCGAGTACATCACTCACCTTCGATTTGCCGATGATATAGTCCTTATGGCAGAATCCCTGGAGGACCTTAGCACTATGCTCAATGACCTTCAATGGTGTCTCCCAACGGATAGGTTTTAAGATGAACATGGACAAAACAAAGATCATGTTTAATGTCGATGTCACACCTATGCCGGTAGTTGTTGGGAGCACTATGCTCGAAGTTGTTGACGAGTACGTTTACCTGGGACAAATAGTCCGACTAGGTAAGTCCTACTTCGATAACTGATGGGGAAGAAAGGTTCTCGAGTGGCAGCCTCGTACCTGTAGGCGTAGTGTAGGGCGACCCCCCACTAGATGGAGTGACGACCTGGTAAGACATGCAGGAAGTCGATGGATGCAGGTGGCTCAGGACCGTGGTTTGTGGTATTGCTTGGGGGAGGCCTATGTTCAGCAGTGGACTTGTGAAGGGCTGTAATGATGATGATAATGATGATTATCTTTAGCACATCTAAGTAATATCGTGTGACTACGGCTGCAAACGAACTCACTTTTATTTTTATTATAATTTTTATCAGTAGATTAGTGTCTGAATATGTTTTGCAATAATATAAAAAGTTGAGATAGTATTGTTTAGTAATATCTTTTTAGTACACGTTTTGTATAGAAATTTTGTTTTAGTTACTCGTATTATGTTTTAACTTTATACACACATATAATTTTTTTAAGAACAGCGTTTCTTTCTGCGAATTTATAGTGTAGTACGCCATACCGGTTGTCATTGTAATGGCCGGAGTACCAGTATAGTGTAAATACAGGCTGCGAGACATTCCATCTTAGTCGGTAGAGGTAGCAACGACGAAGCTTACTTTGTTTGAAGTTAGCCGCAAGTTCTCATCCGCTGCAGTAGCCCTATACCAACATCAGTTAGACTGTAAGTTCGTAGCTTACTTCAGTTTTATAAAAATACGCTAAGGAATATTTATACTAACATAGTTAACATTTTTGTAGTATATATTTTCGGAATTTCGAGAACATCCTGAATTACACGATTTATTGGAAACCCAGACACGATATTCAAATATTTATTTAATTTTTGGAAGTCCGTAAGTAGCCGACAAGTTAAATTTTATGTGACTTCATGCAGAAGATATCCAAAAATATCTAATTTGTCAAAACACGATGAGAAGTTTAGAAGACTAAGGGAACAGATGAACATATATACGTACATAGCTTTCTAAAATCGTAACCATCCTTTTGTCTTCGTCGTAGTCGGGAAAAATAATTAGGTTATCTGCGTTAAATCATAAAACACAAATATATTAAAATCGGTATCGATAATTGATACCGATTTCACCAGGATTATTTGTTTTCAACACACGCATATTACACGCACACTGGTGGATTTTGATTTTGGTTTCACCCTAATCAATCCATCGCCAATCTGACGGCTCCGTGGCGCAGTGGCTTAGCGATGAGTTAAAGCGTTAAGGGCCGCGGGTTCGAATCAAGCACGGAGCAGGTATTTGCCTGGCCTACAAGTAATTGTTCCGGGACTGGATGTTTGTCCTTGTGAAATTTTTTATAAACTGCCCACGATATAGGAGAAAGTCCTAGTTTGGAGGTAACGTTTTAAGAAAAAAGGGAAAAAATCTAGAACATACCGTATCTATGATTTTATCTAATTTTACTGCGCACGCACACATTCGTAAGGGTCAGTAAGCAAAAACGTTATGGTCCATGAATCGCATTCAATTTGGGATAATTTCAAATAAAAGTAGAAGTCTTATTTACTCGTATATTCAAAAATGCAATAACGGTATAACATTATTCGCATATTTTAACTTAAGTTTAAAATTTGGCTACTCTTTGACAAATAAGCCTGTGTATTGAAATATATTTATTTAATAAATATACAATACATAGATACAATTTGATAAAGAGTAAGAGTGGTATTTAGCGTGTAGTGGCGGTGCAAGAATGTCCTGCCCAGTGTCACCCCGTGGGAGTGGTGAGAGGCGACGCTGAGGGAACAGTGAGGAGGTCGGCAGCAGCGTCTTCCTAATAAGGACTGAAATAAATAAAACTGCAGTTGTCAACGCGCTTGCCAAGCGTGTTGCTATGAGGCAATCTATGGGGGAGGTCTAAGCTCAGCAGTGGACTTACGCTGTAATGGTAACGGTAAGAGTGGCATTACCCACGGCTACTCACCAGTGCTGTAATTCTCGTGGGTTATTTTCTGCAGGACGGAGTAGCGGCGCGCGGGCGCAGCGGAGGCGGGCACGCGCGCCCACGTGGCCTCCGCGCCGGCGCTGCGCACACACGTGGCCGACGTTAGCACCACCCGCGCGCCCACCAGCGCGCCCGCGCAGTACAGGCCCGACTCCGTACGTTGACCGCGCGACACGTCGCCGCCCGGCCTGCGGGCCAACCACAACTTAACGCCATATTGACATCATATGGATACCGTCATATTGAGCCATATGAACACCGCTATATTGAGCCGCCATATTTTTAACTTCCCGCTAAGAAAATTGAAAGTTTTCATAAATAAGGTAGTTATTGGTTTCACCCCGATTCCCGAAAATCAAGTTTTTATCAGATCTCGACGTTTTGAGATCCCAGGAAGCTATTCTGACTTATTTCACGTGGACGTCCGTACGGATCTATGTAGGTATGTACGTGTGTGTGTATGCAAGTATGTAAACCTTTCATAACTTTTGAACGTCTTGATCGATTGAGATGCGGTTTGCGGCGTTCTAAAGATCTCAATGTGGAATAGATTTGGTGAAAGATGAACTGATTCGGACGAGTAGATTTTGAGAACTCTCAAAAATAATAATTTTGAAAAACTGTTTTTTTTGGAATAACTTTTAAACGGCTTTACTGATCAATTTCAAAAGTAATCAGCTCTTTACCTCGAAAAATGAAGTCGATTGCCGTTTCAAAAAAAAAATTGGTTTATTCGTTCTTGAGATATCAAAGGAGAAAGAATTTGATTTCTTATATTTACGCGAACACTACACATTGAAATAATACTAGTTTTTACGTAATTTATCGCGTATATTTAACTTTTTAATTACCCGACGTTTCGAACGCTTTACAGCACTCATGGTCACGGGCAGGACTGAGATGTTCAACGTCCATATGTCATAGTTAACCGCGGTTACCATAGATTAAAATTTAACTTTTGTTCCGATCTATGCAGTACGAACTTATGGTATCTTGAAGTCTTGCAGTTGTATGCTTGAGTTGGGATTTAATTTTATTTATTATAGGATCCCAAGCAGATGGTAGCACCCAGCCATCTTCTCTATTGAAATTAGGATGGTTTTTGATTTCAATAGCCTCGCGAAACATCCTTGGAAGGAATCGGTGTTCTTTAGCGAGGATCTGTGGTCTATCAAATCTGATGTAGTGACGGGGGCGATCCTGTACGTGTTCACAGACTGCAGACTTCCCGGAGCGTCGATTCTTCACATCAGCTATATGTTCTTTAACGCGGGTTTTTATTGATCTTTTAGTTTGTCCTATGTAGGAGAGACCACATTCACAATCAAGCTTGTACACTCCTGCATCTTGCAGAGGGACATTATACTTGACCGATGGTAAAAACTGACTTAATCTTCTTCAGCGGCTTGAAGTATGTTTTGATGGAAGCGCGCGAATTTTGTCAGCGAGATTAAAGACCTACATCTGGCAGACAATGAAACTATGGTCAGTTTTGATGTGCAGTCATTGTTTACATGCTTACCTGTTGAAGACTGCATCTCAATTGTAACTAGAAGGCTGGAAGAAAACAACATACCCGTAGAATATGCAGTATTACTCAGACACTGCCTTACATCTGGCTACCTATTGTGGAAGGAGGAGTTCTACAAGCAAGTAGATGGTGTGGCGATGGGCTCACCTGTATCTCCCATTGTCGCCGACATATTCATGGAAGACTTTGAGGAGAAAGCACTGCTGAGTTCTCCCATAAATCCAAGGTTCTACAAGCGGTACGTAGACGACACTTTCACAATTCTACCTTTAGATAAAGTAACTGCATTTTTAGACCATCTTAACTCTATAAATTCTAAAATTCAGTTCACAATGGAGTTAGAGGCAAACAATTCCTTAGCTTTTCTAGATGTGTTAGTAGTTCGGAATCCTGATAACACCTTGAGCCATACTGTGTATAGAAAAAAGACCCATACAGATAGATATTTAAACGGTGATTCTCACCACCATTCTTCACAGTTAGCTACCGTGGGTAAATCTTTGTTTCAGAGAGCACGAGGGATCTGTGACAGTAAACACCTGGCTGCAGAGCTCCACCATGTCAAGCAAGTTTTGCATGACAACAAGCTTCGAGTCCCGCGCCTACGTCACAGTGAACGAGTGAAGCCGGCCACAGTCGAACGTGTACCTGCTGTACTGCCATATGTTAGAGGAGTCACTGACAAGATTGGCTACATCTTGAAGCGCGCTTCCATCAAAACATACTTCAAGCCGCTGAAAAAGAATGGTCAGTTTTTATCATCGGTCAAGTGTAATGTCCCTCTGCAAGATGCAGGAGTGTACAAGCTTGATTGTGAATGTGGTCTCTCCTACATAGGACAAACTAAAAGATCAATAAAAACCCGCGATAAAGAACATATAGCTGATGTGAAGAATCGACGCTCCGGGAAGTCTGCAGTCTGTGAACACGTACAGGATCGCCCCCGTCACTACATCAGATTTGATAGACCGCAGATCCTCGCTAAAGAACACCGATTCCTTCCAAGGATGTTTCGCGAGGCTATTGAAATCAAAAAACATCCTAATTTCAATAGAGAAGATGGCTGGGTGCTACCATCTGCTTGGGATCCCATAATAAATAAAATTAAATCCCAACTCAAGCATACAACTGCAAGACTTCAAGATACCATAAGTTCGTACTGCTTAGATCGGAACAAAAGTTAAATTTTAATCTATGGTAACCGCGGTTAACTATGACATATGGACGTTGAACATCTCAGCCCTGCCCGTAACCATGAGTGCTGTAAAGCGTTCGAAACGTCGGGTAATTAAAAAGTTAAATATACGCGATAAATTCCGTAAAAACTAGTATTATTTCAAGAGAGAATTTGAAAAAAAAACCGTTTTTTTTTTAACATAACATACGTAAATTTGGTGATATTTGGAGCGCTTTGCATTTGAAGTTAGCGCGAAGTGCCAGAGATGGCCTGCAGGGTCAACGTATTTTTTATATAGCGCTCGGCCTGCGAACTTCTCATACTTTAATGCCAGATGTTCCAAGCGCAATAGGTATTTACGCGCGGACATTATTGATACTAAGAAAACGACAGATCTGTGGGATATTTCCGATAAAGTTATTGCGTTTATAATAGATGAAATCGCACCACAAATTACTATTATTTTCAATACTACGGTACGTGAAGGTAATATGGTCATCCGGTTAATATGGTCATTTTCTTATAGGCTTTGCAATACGACAACTCTTCATCAGTCAATGAAGTAGCAAAGGTTCAAAAGGGCGCTTTATCGACGCCATTTTGATAGTCGACCTTTTTGTAAAAGTTTTAGTTCACAACAAGAGATAGGAGAAAAGTCATCACCCAAACAAAGGAAATGGGTACCAACGGCTCACAGCGTAGCGGATGAAGCGACGCGAGCGAACTATGCAGCAAAGAGAGCGAACGATCAGTGGTTCACCGGACCGGCCTTCTTATACAAAGAAGAAAGTGAATAGCCACAGCTACCGGAAGAGAGGGCAGGCGATGAAGAAACTGAGGAAATTATGGCACACCAATGAGAGATAAAGGGAGCACCACACCTGCCAGACATACGAAGATTCTCATCTTACGAGAGATTGATAAGATCCACTGCATGAGTCATACAGTTTGTTGACATCCTTCGAGGACGAGCTCAGAAGTTGACGCTAGATCACATCAAGAAGGCAGTGCAGCTATGGGTAGCGCAGAGTCAGCAGAAGAGTTTTGCTGACGATATAGCTCGACTCTACCAAGAAAAGGACTTACATAACGGCAGCTCGCTAAAAAGTTCGACCCGGTCATCGAACGAAGGATACTGAGAGCAAGAGGCAGGATCGACGCGGCTGCTGTGAAAGATCAGACAAAACGGCCGGTCACATTGAACGGCAGACACCGGTCCGTACAGATGCTCGTGGAAAAGGCACACCAGGATGCTAACCATGCCTACAGATAACGAGTGGTCAACGACTTATGAACGAAGTACCACAATATCCGATCAACGATTAGGGAAATCGAGAAAAGGTGTATGCGATGTCGTGTCAAGAAAGCTACATCATGACCGACGGTAACAGGAGATTTGCCTCCCGAGAGGTAAAAGCCATTCGAGCGACCGTTCATGTATACCGGATTAGATTATTTCGGGCCGTTAATTGTAACAATAGGGCGACGGCATGAGAAGAGATGAGTTGCGTTATTCACCTGTCTAACAACGCGTGCGGTACACATCGAATTGATACGCGGTTTAACCACGGACTCGTCAATTATTAAACTTAGGCGTATGGCGGCTAGGCGCGGGTGTTTTAGGGTAATCTACTCAGACAACGGCACCAATTTCCACGGAGCGGACACCGAATTGCGAGGGGCCATGGAAGAGTAGGCACCGCAGCTGAAGGACTTCGTGCTTACACATCTGACGGAGTGGAAGTTCATTGCACTGGGTGCGCCTAGCAAGGGAGGTGCATGGGAACAGTTGATGCGATTTATCAAGGCGGCGCTTGAGGCTACTCTTCATCAAAAAAGCCCCAATGAGGAAACACTCGTAATATTATTGGCAGATGCGGAGAACACGATGAACTCCAGGCCTCTCACTCACGTGCCAGTCGGAATCAACGATGAGGAAGCCCTGATTCCCAACCACTTTCTCCTGTTGGGAACATCCAACATGCCAGTCCCCGCAATGTGTTCATCGGTTGGTCGACGGACATGGAGGGCTACACAAGGGCTGGTCGATGAGTATTAGCGACGCTGGGTGCGCGAGTACCTACCGACCCTGGTGCTCAGAGAAGAATCATGGAACGCCCAGCAACCCCAGATCAAAGAAGATGACCTCATGATCATAGCAGACGGCAACCTCCCGAGGAACGTATGGCCGAGAGGAGTCGTAACGAGGACCTTCACGGGACCAGATGGAGTGGTGAGAAACGTCGAAGTCAGAACTAGAGGCAGTCTGGTGAGGAGGCCCGTTAGGAAGATCGCCGTCCTCCCAAAAGAAGATGGCTCGTGAACTACGCCGGGGGAGGATGTTACGGACGGCGAGGAGGCAACCGCCCGTCACCCCGCACCGCACCCGCTTCGATACATCTCCCGCACCCCGCATCCGAGCAAGGCTCCAGAAGGATGAGCACTTACACCAACTCGGTGCCTATGTGACCTCGGCAGCG